GATATAGAATTCAAAACCACACTTTTAAGGTTTTTCAAGAATTTTCTAGAAACCGCCGATAAACTCAATGAGACCCTCAAGAAATCTAGTGAGACCCTCAATGTTGTGATAAAGGACCAACTAGAAATTAAGCATACACTGACTGAAATAAAGAATATTTTACAGACTCCCAACAGCAGACCAGAGGATTGCAAGAATCAAGTCAAAGACTTGAAATACGAAGAAGCAAAAAAACACCCAACCGGAAAGCAAAATGAAAAAAGAATCCAAAAATACGAAAATAGTGTAAGGAGCCTCTGGGACAGCTTCAAGCGTACCAACATCAGAATTATAGGGGTGCCAGAAGAAGAGAGAGAGCAAGATATTGAAAACCTATTTGAAGAAATAATGACAGAAAACTTCCCCTACCTGGAGAAAGAAATAGACTTACAAGTCCAGGAAGCACAGAGAACCCCAAACAAAAGGAATCCAAAGAGGACCACACCAAGACACATCATAATTAAAATGCCAAGAGCAAAAGACAAAGAGAATCTTAAAAACAGCAAGAGAAAGAAAGTCTGTTACCTACAAGGGAGTACCCATACGACTGTCAGCTGATTTCTCAACAGAAACCATGCAGGCCAGAAGCAGTGGCAAGAAATATTCAAAGTGATGAATACCAAGAACCTACAACCAAGATTACTTTATCCAGCAAAGCTATCATTCAGAACTGAAGGTCAGATAAAGAGCTTCACAGATAAGGAAAAGCTAAAGGAGTTCATCACCACCAAACCAGGATTATATGAAATGCTGAAAGGTATCCTTTAAGAAGAGGAAGAAGAAGAAAATGGTAAAGATACAAATTATGAACAACAAATACACATCTATCAACAAGTGAATCTAAAAATCAAGTGAATAAATAATCTGATGAACAGAATGAACTGGTGATTATAATAGAATCAGGGACATAGAAAGGGAGTGGACTGACTATTCTTGGGAGGGAAAGGGGTGTGGGGATGCGGGAAGAGACTGGACAATAATCGTACACCTATGGATGAAGACAGTGGGTGGGGAGTGAGGGAGGAGGGTGGGGTGGGAACTGGGTGGAGGGGAGTTATGGCAGAAAAAAGAGGAACAAATGTAAATATCTGAAAAATAAAGATTTAATTAAAAAAAAATATATATATATATATATATATATATATATATATATATATTTAAAAAAAAAAAAAGTCTGTCCAGGATTGTCCTTTTCCATTCCCCATCACATCACTGTCTCCTACTCTCACAGAAAATGTTGTTGTCATGGTTGCTGCCTATTGCAGAAGACACTTACAAAATCACAAACTCAAATCTTGGTCAAAATTAGCCCTATTTAATGTAAATATATATTTCAACACATATATATTTCAACATTGTGAGACTTGGAACAGAGGAACCCAACTATGCTGTGACCCACAAAAACTGTGACATAGCCCTGGTTGGGTGGCTCAGTTAGTTGGAGCATTGTCCTCTACACTAAAAGGTTCGATTCCTAGTCAGGGCACGTACCTAGGCTGCAGGTTCAATCCCCAGCTGGGGAGGCAACCGATTGATATTTTGCTCTCACATCAATGCTTCTCTCCCCCTCACACCCCACCCTCCTCTTTCCTCCTTTAAAAAAAAAATCAATAAAAACATATCCTCAGTGAGGATTAAAAAAAGCACACAAAACGATGAGATAATAAACTGGCAGTATTTTAAGCCATAAAGTTTATGGTAATTTGATACAGAGCAACAGAAAACTAATATAGTATCTGAGGTGATTTAGATAACCAAAACAAAAAACAAAGTTATGAACTCCAGGGATGGGAGCACTGGACTGAGCAAGAAAACAAAAGTAATGATTATGTAGGTAGGTTTTCACCATGTCAGCAAATCCTTTGACACGACTCTCATGTGTGTAATGTCCCCTCCCCACAGCGCAGCCAGCCTTGGTGACTCACGCACAGCCTATCGAATGCAGCAGAAATGGTGCTGAGTGACTTCCCCAGTTAACTCAGTTTCTGTCCAACTCCCTGCAACACTCACTTCTAGAGCCCACTTTACTAGGGAGTTTGGTTCTAGGTTTTCAGGGGAAGCACAGCTTTTCCACGTTCCATTTACTAATTACAGATTTTCCCTTGTAAATATATCATCCTTAGGGACTTCAAGGAGAGAAGTGGCTGCAGAGAAGCAGAACTTGGCCATCCGTAGATTCCCCAGCCATCACACCACCAACTCAACCATGAACCTCTGACGTGAACCAGCCAAAATAGCAGCCTCAATAGCAGTCACTGTAATCCAGAGTAAGGTGGAATATTTAAATATTTAAAGATAGGGAGAATTGTCAATTACTGATAGAAAACATCTCTCTTGTTTCTTTATATGCCTTGGAAAGTTCTTCCAAATTGATTTGCTGTAAAACTCTAAGCAATCTACCTAACATTTTAGTCTCCACATTTCTAATCCAAACAAACTTCAGAAATAATATTTGAGTGAAGAAATTTCTTGAAAATATTTGAACGAAAAGTCTTCTCATGTCTAAAATAAACGTTCATTTTATTAATTAAATCAACAAATACTAATGGATACAGTGATATGAGGTAAAAATATCTGACACAGTCCCCGGCCTCAAGGAGGTTATAATAAACATAGTAAGTATTTATTTAACTCAACATAAGGCAGCATATAATAAGCTCTACAACAAAGGTACAATAGAAGAAATTGCAATGCAGCTGGAGATCCAAGAAAGAACTCAGATTTGAATAACCTCTCCCAAATCCAAGCTTCTCAGTTCCCTTTTCCTTTATCTACTCCAATACCCTACACCTGAAATTATTCCATCCTTCACATCTTCAATGTTGGAACCCTCTTTCAGACTAAACTCTACCTCCCTATTGTGAGGAAATCCTTACCTCCCCCTCCCCCATGAGTCTCCATAGAGGGGAGACTCCCCAGAGGAGGCAAGTAGTTAATCTGATTGGCTGATCACCCTACCCCACCGTCACTTGGGAGGAAAGAAGAATAAACAGCATGTTGGCCTTAGGTCTCCAAACAATTTATCAGAATTTCTGTAATTTATCAGAATCTCTGGAACCTGTTCGGCCATTGAACTCTGTCCCTTAACATTTGTGTTTCATTCTCAAAATCTGAGAACTCAGAAGGGGCAGATGGATGAGTTATTAATCCCCCAAATATGGAACAACCCCTTTCTCTTTCTGTTCAATATTCCCTAAAACCATCAACCGTGGATCAATTTAGCTGTTCTCTAGCCCCATCTTAAAGAAAATACTCTTCAGCTTACTCAGCAATCATGTCCATCAGTTATTCCCTCTCTCTCCTGAAGCTTCAACTTTTGATTCTGACAACTCTTTCCTCTTCATTCAGACACGCCCAAAACCCATTTTAAAAACAAAGTAAAAGAACAACAAAACCAAAACTCTCTCTTCAAGCTTGACCATTCTTCTAGCTATCTTTGCTCTCCTTTAAAAGCCTCGTTTTTAGGAAATGTAACCTACCCTGGCTCCCTCTGCCTTTCCACGTTGCATTCTGGGGGCAGCCTGATGCATGCCAGACTCTACAAAACTATTCGCATCAATGTGACCAAATGACCTCTGAGCTAACAAATTCAACAAGCAATTTTTATTTCTTCTTTGACTTGACCTCTCAACTGTATTTGATGTTTAGCAACTTCCGTCTTGAAACTCTCTTCCACTGGCTTTTTATAACATCACTGCTTCCTGATGCTCCTTCTAGACTTCAGAATGCTCTCTCTCAGTCTTTATTGGTTAAACCTTAAATTTTAACATTTTCCCAGGATTCTATTCTTGGCTTTCCTCTTCTCAAACTAAACTCTCCCTAGGGAGGGGGGAGAGGGAGGGGGAAGGCCTATTTACACCATGCATTATCCCACATACCCATAAATCAATAAGACGAAATCTGAACTCATGTGCTTCCTCCCCCACCCCCAGCCCTACCAGTGCTTACCTGCTCGGTACCTGCTTACCTGTCTGTCCTCTCTGCCCTGGCCTGCCTGGGGGATGGATGGACACACACTGCTGTCGGCAGTGGTGGCTCCCTAGAGCAGGGACTGGGAGCGTGAGTGAGGACAACTACATAACGAGAGCAATGCATCTTAGAGGAACTAAAAGGAACCCCAGATGAACTCCACTGAATTATACTGTATCTTAAAGGGAAGTGATATGTATGTATGTATGTATTTATTTATCCATCCGTCCATCTCTGAAGCTCTTGTGCGTATTAGCACAGGAGCCTGCACATAGTACTCAATGCAGGGTACTCCATTCCTTTCTTTGAATCAAAAAAGTAGAATAAGAATGGGATATCTGAGATAAGCTTTGAAGAGCTGATAGAATTTCAACAAGTACAGATGGAGGAGGAATCATGTGAGTCAGAGGGAATAGGAAAAGCACAGGCTCAGACAGAAATGCTGGACTGGCAGGCTGTATGAAGTCAAATATCACCACCAACACGAGAATACTGAGGCACGATTTTATAAGACTTTAAAATGGAGCCAGAGATGCAGCTTGGCAGGCGATGGCAAGCCAGTGAAGTGTTTAAAACAATGGGATTTGCGATTGGAAAGGAAAAGAATTAAATGGACAGAGGACACCTCTTAAATAGCTACCAAGTGAATTTCCTAAGTGAGAAGAAATAAAGACCTGAACTACAGCAACTACAGTAAAAGTAGAAGGGGAAAATATTATTTTTGAGATTGAAGGTGAAAACCAAAATTTTTGAATATTCAAGAACGATTACATTAGTTGAAGCATTAAATTGAAAGGAGGTGGAAAATTTAAATCAATAACATTACCATCATGAATGGTGTTGGGTGTTAGAGTATCAAGCTTATTGTGTTAGCAAAGAGCTCCAACAAGCATAGGTTGACACACAATTGGCAATTGAAAAGGGCATTCTTTATATGTTAGGAAAGGTCATTTATAATTTCGGAGTCGGGGGTGAGCAAAATATAATCATACCGTGAAACTGTTGTTAGCATTTTTTGTGCTTGCTTCAGCTACACTGGCATCTGAGAGGTCAACTTCATCAAATATCAGAGACTGTTAATGAAAAAGAACACAAACATATTAAATGAAAACCAAACTCAATGCTCCTCAATAATATTTTACTATCAGGTCATGACCATGTGGCTATGTCAGGAATTAGGAATAGAAAATAAAGAAAAATTTAAGTCAGTGATACTTTGTGAGTAAAGTCACAAAGTACAACACATAAATCCCAAACTGAAAAGTACCTCACAGAACTCCAGGACACTGTTTTGATGCAAAATGCTCTGTGTTCTCTGGAAGCATAATTCATGGGGAATCTACTAAATGCAACACACACACACACACACACACAGACACACACACACTCTCACACCACTATCTTTAAACCTTGTAACAACTTTGCCAGGAAGGCAGAGACAACGTTGTTCCCAAATTTGCTAAGTGAGAAAGAAAAACAACTAGTCCTGCCTCCGATCATGGTGAGTTACTGAACTTTCTGAACCTAACATTCCTCATCTATAAATGTGTTCAAATGAGATGAGATGCTCTGCAAAAATTAGATGATGTTTCTTTCATACTCTTAAAAGTGGTCTTAAGAAAAAAGTGACAATGGTAAAAACGCCAGAGAAACGAAATCTTAAAAATGTACAATTTAGCCCTGGCCGGATGTCTCAATTGGCTGGAGCGTCATCCAGTACATCAAAAAAGGTTGGGGGTGCGATCTCTAGTCAGGGAGCATAGGGGAGGCAACCAATCGATGTTTTTCTCTTACACCGATGTTATCCCCCCACCCTCCTTTTCTAAAATCAATAAGAACATATTTTCAGGTGAGGATTTTTTTTAAATATACAATTTAGAAATTCAGAAATTCTAATAAATAAATGTACCCTTCCCACTTAGTCATCTGGTCATTGTTCACCCATCATTGTTCTTCCAGCCAGGCAGTACAACAATGCTTCTCTAGAAGTGCAGAAAAAGGGGGGGGGGCCTTCTCTGATAGCTTCCACCCGCCCCCTCCCCCCCACCCCCTCCAGATCTCCAGGGGATTATGCTTTAATCCAAGCAATCTGACTACAAGACTTGTTCCCTGACTGAAAAGAATTTATAACCTAGCACAGGCGATAAAATTGACACAACTAATTTTAATGTAAGATAGACCGTTACAGTGGAAGAGATGAGATACTGCGAAATGCTCTGGAAGATCGCAGATGACTTCTCCAGCAAAGAACACTTACACTCTTTCTCTTGTGACTAATGAAATAAAAGCTATTTGAGGGGGGATTTTAGAAATAACGGAATTTTGTCAAGTGGAGACAGAGGGAAGGTCACTGGAGATGGGAGACCAAGGGCAAGGCTGCACTGGCTGGTCAGTGCAGCCTACAGATACAGGTGAAGGCAGGATGGAGTCAGACCAGGAGCAAGCCTACACATAACAACTTTTAAAACAAGACTGTTTTATCTGGTTATTATTTCTACAGCTGCATAAACTAAGATTTAGGTTTTGTTTGTTGATTTGTTTTTACCTCCTGGTGTATAATGCTATTAATTACATCAGGTACTTAAGTTCTTTAATATGGAAATAACTAAATTGGCACAGTAATAAGAATCTTAATGTTTATTTTTTAAAGAATCCTAAAGTATCAGATCTAAATGGAAACAATCATTATAATTTTTTTCGTTCAAAACTACATCACTCTTATTTTATTCAATGGTTATATAAAAATTATTTAAAGTCTTATTTTTATTTCACCATGATTTTTATTTTTAAATAATTTTAAATGTTTTTTTTATTGATTTCAGAAAGGAAGGGAGAGAGAGATAGAAACATCAATGATGAGAGAAAATCACTGACCAGCTGCCTCCTGCACACCCCACACTGGGGACCGAGCCCACAACCCAGGCAAATGCCCTGACCAGGAACCAAACTGTGTCTTCCTGGGTCATAGGTTGATGATCAACCAGAGCCACACCAGCCAGGCTATGATTTTTATTTCTAACCTCTAGCATAGTGACTGATTATTTTGTGTGCCAGGCACTACGTAAGCACTTCATGTCTATTATGTCATTTAGCCGCCTCTCATGATCACGTGCGTCCACAGCACTGCTCTGGAATATGCTGGAACTGGGACAGGAACTCTGATTCGTCACTAGTATAGCAATGTTCTCACTTACGGTCAGGAAAATATTTATAATGTAAAAAAATAGCAAGAAAGGGGAGAAAATCCAAAATTCTGAGTTTATTCTATCTAATAAGGTTACATTTAATATTTTATTTAATTGGAAGGAAAAAAGGCTGGAAGAAAATGGAAGGAAGAAATGAGGAAGGAAGGAAGGGAGGGAGGGAGGAAGCAGGAAAGCAGGGAGGAAAGGAAACTACAGTAGAACCTTCCTATTCCATTCTCCTTATGGTACAAGCCATGAAACTGACTCAAATGGGCTCCCTTGGGATTTGGTCCAAGATAGGTCACATTTATATTGAATTTATGTAAGAGGAGAAAGGGTATAGTGAGCCCCAAGACAAAAACAGTTTAGAGAACCAAAATTTTAAATCCATCCACAACCTCAGGTGCTTGCAACTAGTAGTCTCTCAAATTACCTTTGAGTCCTTTGCATAATAAAGTGTACGGCCTCGAAGCTTGAAGTATCGCTTTTTCCATCTTTGGAAAGAACTGGTTTGCTTCAACAGTTGTCCCTCTTTAATACTGGTCTGGGGAGAAGACAAAGCACAATGACATGATTAAAATGAAATCCAAAACCAAATAAAGTTCACGATTAATGACACACTATCATTAATATTTTGAATATTGCTTCCCATGTCCCACAAATTTCATGAGAGAATATTTTCTTCTTTTTGTTCAACCAAGGGAGCACATGTGCAAAGTCCTAAAGAGCAACAGTAATTGGCTCAGTTCCCTGACCTCCAAGTAGTCACAAACAGCCTGAAAGGCACAAGCACACAAACTAGCCCTCGCAATACAGGGGGATGCACACCATGACTTGCATTAGTAAGTATTTAATAAATGGTGCAAAGGGTAGAGACATCGTATAATGGAATGATTTTAAAAAGCATGGGCTTTGCATCCCTATGACTATTTTTAAAACTGAAAATTTGTACTTCTTTCACCCTTTTCACCCCTCTCTTCTGCCCGCCTCCCATCTGGCAGCAATCATGAATACAGTCAATAATCCTATCTAATGAAGAGATAATGTGCAAATTGACCATCCCTCCAACACACAAGATGACCGCCCCCATGTGGTCAAAGATGGCCGCCCCATGTGGACACAGATGGCCTGCAGAAGAAGGCAGTTAGGGGTGACCAGGCCAGCAGTGGAGGGCAGTTGGGGGCAACTGGGCTGGCAGGGGAGGACAGTTGGGGGTGATTGGGCCAGCAGGGGAGGGCAGTTGGGGGCGATCGGGCCGGCAGGGGTGGGCAGTTGGGGACGATTGAGTCGGCAGAGGAGTAGTTAGGTGTCGATCAGACTGGCTGGGGAGTGGTTAGGGGGTGATCAGGCTGGCAGGCAGAAGCAGTTAGGGGCAATCAGGCAGGCAGGCAGGCGAGCGGTTGGGAGCCAGCATTCCTGGATTGTGAGAGGGATGTCCAACTGCCCTGTGGGATCGGGCCTAAATGGGCAGTCGGACAGCCCTCGAGGGGTCCCAGATTGGAGAGGGTGCAGGCTGGGCTGAGGGACACCCCCCCTCAGTGCACAAATTTTGTGCACCGGGCCTCTAGTATTATAATAACTACATATGGTGTCGGATGGATACTAGGCTTATTAGGGTGATCACTTTGTAAGTTATATAAATCTCTAATCACTATGTTGTACACATGAAACTAAGATAATATTGTATTGTCAACTATAATTTAAAAATAAATCTTTAAAAAGAAGAAAAAAAAAAAAAGCATGGGCTCTGGAGCCAAAAATCTAGTGTTCAACTCCTGGTGCCATCACTTAGTAGCTGGATGATCTTAAACAAATTACTGAACTTCCTTGTGCCTTTACTCGTCTATAAAATGGGATAACTTCTGGGGTTGTTGTGAGGAATAAATTAAGAACACGTAAAGGACTTACTGCACGGCACACAGCAAGTGGTAGTTAAATAGCACCCAGCTAGTGACAGATGTTACTACAACAAACACACGTTCAAAGCACTGTGCATGGCAGTCCAGAGATGAAAGCATCAGCTCTGCTCAGAGGGACCCAACGTCCTCTCTGGGGAGTTTATCAGAATGGCAAGGGATGAAGAAGGGAATTTCATGTGTGTGCAAAATTAGAAAGGTTTAAAACACCGTGGATATTTGGGAAATCTTCAAAAAGCTTTCAGTTATGAATGCAAAGAAGAGCTTACAAGGGGAAGCAGCAGATGTGGCTGGAAGAGGTAGGCAGGGGCTCTGTGACCCTGGGCCGGGCCAGACCCTGTGCTAAGTGCTTTATCCAAGCTCATTTCATCATCACCATCAAAAGGCTTGGAACCCCTCCAACCTCACATAGACATCTCCCCTACACTTGGTCTCCTCCACCCGCAAGGATGCTTTGCTTTTAGCTGGCATATATTCTCCTCCCTTAGGTCTGGATACTACCTGATCCCTCCACCTGGACTGCTCTCCCCTCAGATATCCATCTGCCCAACCCCCTCACCTCCTCAGTGCGACCCACCTCACTGACCGCCAGTTTAACCCAGCAACATGCTCTCTGTATCTCCCCGTCTTGGTCTTACTCCCCCACACAATGTACTATCTTCTAATGTATCGTGTAATTTACATATTTATTGTGTTTATTGTGCTATCCCTATTAGAAGGTCCTTGAGTTTATTATACATAAAAAATAAAATTTAATGTTTTATTTCAATTGGAAGTAAAAACAAAAAAGGAAGAAAGCAGGAAACTACACTTATAGCAAATAAACTTACAGCCTTGTTATGAGATTGTCCTCAGGAGACAGGTCACAGGACTAACTAATAGATCCCCTTAGATGGGGTCCAAGATGGATCACATTTCCACCGAATTCACAGAAAAGCAGTAAGGATATCATGAGCCTCCAAGACAAAAACAGCTTATAGAAACAGAATTAAATTCACCCCTCTGGGCTGCACACTGGTATATCTCAAGTGCCAGTTCATATATAGCAGTTATCAAGATTTAATCCACACCTATCTGAGTGAAGAGTTTACTCCCAACCTATACACTACACTGTCTTTTATTATCAACAAGACATAAAACATTGAGAAAAGTTTGTTGTCACCAATAAAGTAGTTAAATTATATTACTGTCTACCTTCGATTTCAGATTTTCTCTGTACAGTAGCCTGCTCTAAGACTGTCCTCTAGGAATTGCTGAGAGATCCCTAAAACTTAATGCTAACAAAATACTTTTGAAACTCTGGTAGCAAAGAGCTTGATTTGGACGCTGACAGACAACCTTCCAGACTGGCTCTGCCACGCACGAGCTATGACCTGGGCAAGTTACCCCAGCTCTCTGTGCCCGTTTCCTCTCCTAAAACATGGGAATAATGATACCAACCTCACAAGCTTGTTGCACCTAATTTAATCACAGGCTGATGCCTGGAGACCACTTACACTGTCTGGGTTACAGAAAACATCCAATAAATGGCAGAAAGTGTTATTATGGTGATATCATTACGCTATTAACTTCAGAGAGTACCTGCCAGGCACCGAATAATAAGAGCTTCTTGGAAGAAGAGAACGTGTTCCAAGGCCACTGTGAGGGCAAATAACAGCTGGAGCAGGAGGAAGTGTCAAGAGATGAAGAGAAGGGAGACGAGAGCCAGGAGCTGCTGGCTTCTTATTCTAAGTGCAAAGAGCTAGCGAGATGTTCGCAGCAGGAGGGTGAGCATGGGGAAATGGGTGTGAAGGGCAGTGGGGGCCAGGTGGGAGGCTGCTGCCGGAGTCCAAGGCAGCGATCCCAAATAAAGTTCTAGCAACACTCACATGGACAGGAGGAGAGCAATTTGAGATGTTATTTTGGAGGCAGAATCCACTGGAGTTACTGACAGGCATGAAGGACAGGAGAGAAAAGAATCAAGGAAACTCTCAGCATTTGGCTTGGGGAACTAGATGTAAAAGACTGCGGGAGAATGGGTACTGGGGAGATTGCTGTGAGCTTCACTGCTGCACTGCTCTAGCATCTAATGTTACGCTGGGTAGAGAGTCTATAATTCTTAAACCCAAACACAAAGTATTGAAATGCTGTAAAATGTAACTTATCCAAAGAACAAATCATTTGGAGATTCAAAATACAGAAGCGAGTGTATTGTGATTTTTGTAAAATTCTATTTAAGGCAATGAGGAAGAAAATTTAATGTTTGGTCTATTTGTGTTCTATAAACACTGTTTTAAGAAAACATCAATAACCTACTTCATTCTATACATGGTTATTAGAATAATTCTCTACAACAAAAAGCTGATTGTATTATGTATTCATCAGTTCCTTACTGCCTACACAGCATAAAGTCCAAACTTCTATATGTACCACAGAAGGCCCTACATAATGCTCTCCAACCTCATCACAGGCCCCTTCCCATGCTCCCCCCTCTGCCCTAAAGTTCTCTTAATCTGGCCTGTCTTGAAAGCTCCCATTCAATTCAACTCTGATCCAGTGCCACTGCCCCTGTGGAAGCTTCTCTGGCCCCCTCGGAAGAAGTGACCACTCCCACTTTTGTTTCTCTAAGATGCCCTTATCCTAACCACGTAACAGCACCTCCGACACTGAATGGCACAGGTTTACATGTTTGTGATCCCACCATGCTGTGACATTCTTAAGAGCAAAGACTACATCCTATGTATTTTAATAACATTGCCCAGGTAACACAGCTGACACCCTAGGGCCTTCATAAATATTGAAATGAACAACTTTCAGTTAAAGAGTGAAATGGTATGCAAGGTAACTTCGTATTTTAAAAGCATGAAAGAACTGGAAAACAGGAAATAGTGGCTGGAAATTATTTTATGGTTTCTAGCATTCAGCAGGTCTGAGCCTCCTTTCACTTGTATAAAAACAAGCAGATACAATGCACAAAGGTGTATGTGCCTCTAGGTGCATGCAGAGGGACAGAAAAATATCTATCCTGATTTTAAGAATATTGCTAATTTAGAGATGATCCTTACATAATCACTTTGAAAGCAAATAATTTGGGTTTTTTTCTATATAATTTTATGTTCTTCAAATATTGCATAAGCATGGATTAACCTGCAATGTGTGAGGCTGTGGGGAATACAAACGTGTAAAATACAGTCCTCATCTCCATGAATTTACAAATTTCTCTATGTTGTAACATACACAGTTAATTTTAAATTCTTGAAGAGAAGAAGAAAACATTCCGAGGCTGGCCTGCCTTCCTCTAAGAGATGTGATTTAAAAGGTTTAAATAGGAGGCAATTATTCTCATGAGTTAATCCTCAAAATAAACTTTTGTTTACATATGGCTATTTAAACACTTTTTATAAAAGAAGAAGCATAACAATGATTAATTTGCAACAGTTTTATCAAATCTTCTATATATATAAAAGGCTAATATGCTAAGTGTCCATCCCACCAGTAGCTATGACACACACTGACCACCAGGGGGCAGATGCTCAACGCAGGAGCTGCTGAGCTGCAGTGACTTGGCAGCGGCGGTTCTCAGGTGATGCACCCCAAAACCAGAGAGGAGGGAGCTCAATTCCTCATGGGGCTGCGCAATTCCACCTTC